CATTTGTAGCAAAGTGGCGCGCCTTTTTGGAAACTTTTTTAAACTTCAAAGTTTTAAACATTGATTTGTTAAAAAATTACTTTGGTCGGCACATTTGAAACGTAAATCTCTGTGAATATTGTTTTTGCAATTACCAGTAAAACAGTGATCTAACCCATATCTTCTCATTAGGTCAAATAATTAAATTTTAAAGAACACAAAAAGTCAGTAGCTAATTAAAAGTGCATGGTTTGAAATGTAAGACTGATATTTAGTTACATGTGGGCTATTATTCCGAATCTTTTACTTTTACATCGAAAAGCTGGCCTTTATATCAACTCTGATTTTAAAAACGTTCATTATGCTGTAATACTTTAGCATTTATGATGACAATATATTTAATTTTGATTGTAGACAAAATATTTTTGTAAAAACATATAGTGTTAAGCTATTTTATTAGATTCTAAAGTAATTATTGATTTGTTTTGATATTCATAATAAAATATGTAGACATATACATAGTTATATTAAGATATTGATTATTTCCCCTTTTTCGCTAGTCTTAATATATGTCCCAGGAATTATTATGTAATTTTTTTACAAGGATTATTACGAAACAGATTTTGCCGCGTTCATTGTTTTTGTTGTAGTGTTTATATATATATATATATATATATATATATATATATATATATATATATATATATATATATATATATTTGTTTAGAGTGAAACCATTTTTTTTGTTTCGTCGGCCTACATTGTGTGTTTTTTTAATTTCTTCAGAGTGTTAATTTAAATTTATTTTACATCATATCGAAGAAATAACATACACCTAATATATATATATATATATATATATATATATATATATATATATATATATATATATATATATATATATACTTATATAGAAGATATTACAAATTCGGCGCCTTTTTTTGCTATTTCCGCTCCCCCTACACCGAAAACCTGGATACGCCTCTGACGTAGGCGCTTATATATATATATATATATATATATATATATATATATATATATATATATATATATATATATATATATATATATATATAAAGTTACATTTTTCAAGTTAAAAAACACGAAGTGGGTGGTTGTTGTGATGCGTGGCGTCCTGTGGTTATCGCAAACGCCGATGGATAATTAAATACAGCTGTTGAATGTTTTTATTTAATTAGATTTTTCCAAATGTCTGTCGCTCGTTTTTAGCAGGCCTCGTTTATTCAGTAAATATTGTACTAACTGTTTGCAATTTTTGGTTCCGGGGAAGAAATGGTTGCTGGATTTGTGAAATAATCATGTGGATGTTAATCTAATTCTATAGGCTACAAAGTTAGGCTACTAGTAGGTCAAAGTGCCTCTAATTCAGTGTTTCTTCCAGACTTTTTTCTCCGGGGAGGGGGGGGGGCACTTGAAATATTCGGGGGGGGGGGGGGGGGCGGTAAACTTTCTTCGGGGGGGGGGGGGGCGGACACTGTTAAAAGTATATATTTTCTATATAAATTATATAAATTTCATATCGAAGAGATGCCTGGAAGAAACTCTGCTCTAATTGTAAGTTATATAATAACTGCAGGATCTTTAAACTTTCTTCACCTATTTTGTGACTAGCGCAAGTCTAAGAGTGTTTCTTTTTTTATTTCTCTCTCTAAACCAAAACCAATATCTTCACATAAAACTAAATCTATACATTTGAACCGGAACCGAAAATCTACCTGCAGCCAATATTTAACGAGAAACTATAACTACGAGCCGACCCGCGGTGTATCATACGCCGCTATTTAGTTGTTATATTTTCTACTTTTCAGTAATTCATAATTTGTTAATTCGACAGTACCAATGCTGCCACTGAAAATATTTGCTTTAAAACACTACCCCCCCCCCCCCCCCCGTGAAAGCAGCCTCCTCTTAGTTACCTTCTCTAAGTTTAAAATCGTTTCAAACTAAATTATCTGCTTCTAATAGCCGTCACCAAACCCGGCTCTACGATTGTAAAATGTAAACATTTAGCGTGAACCACAGCTCACCAGGCCATGTGAGGTGGGGGGGGGGTGTGGTAGCGATAGAGAGGAAGAGAGGGGACTGCAAGGCGCGCTTGCAGCTTGTTTTCTAACGTCTCCCAGAAGAGAATTATGTATATAGATATTATATATGGAAACCCATTCTTATTCGTGTCCTGAAATTACACCGGAACTTCTGCTGCAACCGTAAATTTCATCGGCAAAATGCAATTTAACCTGAATTGGTACTTAAGAAGTTAAACTGCAACTGGACATCTAACCAGAACCCGGTGGTGTAGCTACCGTAAAGCTAGAGTAAACAAGGCCTAGGGACCCAAGGAACATAGGGGCCCTTTTGCTTCGTTAAAAACAGTTTAAATACACAATCAGGACGTATAAAATACAAAATGTACATTATTTAAAACTCCTCTCTCGTAAGTAGCAATAATTTTCTTCGCTGCCCATGTTTAACTCCGTTGTAGCATAGCGGCTGACGCAGGGGCCCACTGATAATTTTTTGCATAGGGATCCGAAAATCCTAGCTGCGTCACTGCCGGAACCTGAACTATAACTGAAACCGGAACCTATCCGGTAAATAAACTTAAATCGGAACCGGTATTTTAACTGAACTTGAACTTTATTCAGAATCGGAGTTTGAACCATAAATAACTATTTAGCCGACATCTTAACCTAAATCTAACCGGAACAGCAATTTAACCGGAATTTCTATTTTTTCTCAAACGGGAAATTTCATTGGATCCGGATCAGGAAATTGACCCGGAGCTGCATAGTTGTTTTTTTTTTTTTTAACTGAAACTAGAACTTCAACCGTAAGAGGACGTTTAGAACTTTAACCTGAAAATTTTATTTGGAAATGGAGATTTAACCGGAAAAATAACTTTAACAGGACTGTAACTTTTACCGCAATCAGAACTTAAATTTAAAACCGAAATTTATGGCGAACCGAAACTTAATTGAAACCGTAAATTTAATCTGAACAGAAATAAAAACCGGAAACAGGAACTTTACCCGCAACCTGTATTTTAACCGGAATACAAAATTTGCCAGTATCAGTAAGGGGTCATCCATAAATGACGTCACGCTTTTTTGACGATTTTTACCTCCCCCCCCCCTTCCCTCCGTCACACTTCGTCACAAAAAGCCAGACCCCCCCTAAAATGACGTCACACCTCAACCTACAACCCCCCTCAAAATTGCAGTTGAATTTTTTTAAAACATTGATATTTTTCCAAAATCTTGTCTAAACTATTACAATTTATTAAAACAGTTATCTAAAACGCGATAAAACGTCTAAAATTCGTTTTCTAACATTGCTTTTTTATAATGAAAAAAAAAACAACAACTAAAGACGTAATTGAAGACAAAATGTTATCGTAAAAGGAACTTTTTCCGAAGACAGAAATTCAACAAGAAACGGAAATTAAACAGTTAACCGAGCTTTAACCGGAGCCGAAACAGTAACATAAACGAAATTAAACGGAAACGGAATTTTATCCAAAACCAGTATTTTATCTGGATGAGAAAATGCAACCCAGTTTTAATGGTTGACACAACCCAGTTTTGATGGTCATAATAAATTAAAAACCATTGTTTATTAAATGGATATATATGTATATATTTCAAAGTTGCAAAACATTAAAATGTTAACAATTTCGTTTATAAAAATAATTATCGGTACCTTTGTCGATCTTATTTCAGGTATCAAAATGAAATTGATATTGTAGGACAAATTAAAGCTAATTTATTAAAAATTATATCGCTTTCACTCGATAGTTTCTTACATCCAATCAATGATACGAAACAAAAATATAATCACACAACAATATGCATCGATGAAATAAGAGCACTCACATTTCTACCCATACACTGTGCTAATAAATAAAAAATGTTTAGAACAATGGACAAGTGACATCAGTCTATCGCGTCGCCCCCCTCTTTCTTCTCCCAATCAAACTTCTGCCCGATGAGGTCAAAGAGCTTCTGGTTGTGTGGCCTGTAGAAGTCGTACAGCATCTTCTCGTCTGCGGGCGGCAGGTCCGGGTGCTTCCAACCCTTGAACTTGGTGATACACTTGGGACTGGCGTTAGCCTCGAATCTCTTGAAGCAGTAAAAGCCCCAGGTTTCGTTCAGGTAAAAGTTCTCCTTTGTCAAGAGGTGCGGCAGGCCCAGGAACGATTCCACCTTGACCAAGACGCTGAGCGGGTCCTTGGTCAGCTGCTCGTCTCCCAGGATGAGGATCTGGTCCCGGGGGAAGGTCTGGAACCAGGGACTCAGGTGCTTGTGGTACACGCCCACATCCACGGCATTGATGGTGGGGTCGAACTTGTGGGTCGTCCTGTTGATGTACATCATGGTGATAGGGCCTCGCTCGTTCTCGGCCACAAAACGGTGCCTGGGAAGGTAACAGACACAGAAATAGTAGGGTCACCTCAGTTATCGCTAGCATTAGCAGGGTCAGCTCAGTTACTGCTAGCTTTAGTAGGGTCAGCTCAGTTACTGCTAGCTTTAGTAGGGTCAGCTCATTTATTGCTAGCTTTAGTGGGGTCAGCTCAGTTATTGCTAGCTTTAGTAGGGTCAGCTCAGTTACTGCTAGCTTTAGTAGGGTCAGCTCAGTTATTGCTAGCTTTAGTAGGGTCAGCTCAGTTACTGCTAGCATTAGCCGGGTCAGCTCAGTTATTGCTAGCTTTAGTAGGGTCAGCTCAGTTATTGCTAGCTTTAGTAGGGTCAGCTCAGTTACTGCTAGCTTTAGTAGGGTCAGCTCAGTTATTGCTAGCATTAGTAGGGTCAGCTCAGTTATTGCTAGCATTAGTAGGGTTAGCTCAGTTATTGTTAGCATTAGCAGGGTCACCTCTGTAAGCGCGTAATTACTCACCTCTGTACGCGTGTGATGTACTCACCTCTGAAAGCGTGTGATGTACTCACCTCTGTAAGCGTGTGATGTGATGTACTCACCTCTGTAAGCGTGTGATGTACTCACCTCTGTAAGCGTGTGATGTACTCACCTCTGTAAGCGCGTGATGTACTCACCTCTGTAAGCGTGTGATGTACTCCCTTATGTAAGCTACTCACCTCTGTAAGCGTGTGATGTACTCACCTCTGTAAGCGCGTGATGTACTCACCTTTGTAAGCGTGTGATGTACTCACCTCTGTAAGTAGGAGGAGACCAGACGATCGACTGGGTTGCGGACCAGAGAAATGAGCTTGACCTTCGGGAAGTGCTGGTGGATCTCCTTCAGTGCTTTAGCTGACAAGACGTAGTCAGGTGACTTCTCAATGGTGATTTGGTTGCTGGTGGATAGCGAGACATATGTACACACAGCTTTACTTAGGCACATTTTATGTATATATATATATATATATATATATATATATATATATATATATATATATATATATATATATATATACATATACATATACATATACATATACATATACATATACATATACATATACATATACATATACATATACATATACATATACATATACATATACATATACATATACATATACATATACATATACATATACATATACATATATATTCTAGCCTGTGGTCCATTCTTTCAGTAGGATGGTCACTGTATTCTAGCCTGTGGTCCATTCTTTCAGTAGGATGGTCACTGTATTCTAGCCTGTGGTCCATTCTTTCGGTAGGATGGTCACTGTATTCTAGCCTATTCTTTCGGTAGGATGGTCACTGTATTCTAGCCTGTAGTCCATTCTTTCGGTAGGATGGTCATTGTATTCTAGCCTGTGGTCCATTCTTTCAATAGGATGGTCATTCTATTCTAGCCTGTGGTCCATTCTTTCGGTAGGATGGTCATTGTATTCTAGCCTGTGGTCCATTCTTTCGGTAGGATGGTCATTGTATTCTAGCCTGTGGTCCATTCTTTCGGTAGGATGGTCACTGTATTCTAGCCTGTGGTCCATTCTTTCGGTAGGATGGTCATTCTATTCTAGCCTGTGGTCCATTCTTTCGGTAGGATGGTCATTGTATTCTAGCCTGTGGTCCATTCTTTCGGTAGGATGGTCATTGTATTCTAGCCTGTGGTCCATTCTTTCGGTAGGATGGTCATTGTATTCTAGCCTGTGGTCCATTCTTTCGGTAGGATGGTCATTCTATTCTAGCCTGTGGTCCATTCTTTCGGTAGGATGGTCATTGTATTCTAGCCTGTGGTCCATTCTTTCGGTAGGATGGTCACTGTATTCTAGCCTGTGGTCCATTCTTTCGGTAGGATGGTCATTCTATTCTAGCCTGTGGTCCATTCTTTCGGTAGGATGGTCATTGTATTCTAGCCTGTGGTCCATTCTTTCGGTAGGATGGTCATTGTATTCTAGCCTGTGGTCCATTCTTTCGGTAGGATGGTCATTGTATTCTAGCCTGTGGTCCATTCTTTCGGTAGGATGGTCATTCTATTCTAGCCTGTGGTCCATTCTTTCGGTAGGATGGTCATTGTATTCTAGCCTGTGGTCCATTCTTTCGGTAGGATGGTCATTGTATTCTAGCCTGTGGTCCATTCTTTCGGTAGGATGGTCATTGTATTCTAGCCTGTGGTCCATTCTTTCGGTAGGATGGTCATTCTATTCTAGCCTGTGGTCCATTCTTTCGGTAGGATGGTCATTGTATTCTAGCCTGTTGTCCATTCTTTCGGTAGGTTGGTCACTGTATTCTAGCCTGTTGTCCATTCTTTCGGTAGGATGGTCACTGTATTCTAGCCTGTGGTCCATTCTTTCGGTAGGATGGTCATTCTATTCTAGCCTGTGGTCCATTCTTTCGGTAGGATGGTCATTGTATTCTAGCCTGTTGTCCATTCTTTCGGTAGGTTGGTCACTGTATTCTAGCCTGTTGTCCATTCTTTCTGTAAGATGGTCACTGTATTCTAGCCTGTGGTCCATTCTTTCGGTAGGATGGTCACTGTATTCTAGCCTGTGGTCCATTCTTTCAGTAGGATGGTCACTGTATTCTAGCCTGTGGTCCATTCTTTCAGTAGGATGGTCACTGTATTCTAGCCTGTGGTCCATTCTTTCGGTACGATGGTCATTGTATTCTAGCATGTGGTCCATTCTTTCGGTAGGATGGTCTCTGTATTCTAGCCTGTGGTCCATTCTTTCGGTAGGATGGTCATTGTATTCTAGCCTGTGGTCCATTCTTTCGGTACGATGGTCATTGTATTCTAGCCTGTGGTCCATTCTTTCAGTAGGATGGTCACTGTATTCTAGCCTGTGGTCCATTCTTTCAGTAGGATGGTCACTGTATTCTAGCCTGTGGTCCATTCTTTCGGTAGGATGGTCACTGTATTCTAGCCTGTGGTCCATTCTTTCGGTAGGATGGTCACTGTATTCTAGCCAGTGGTCCATTCTTTCGGTAGGATGGTCACTGTATTCTAGCCTGTGGTCCATTCTTTCGGTAGGATGGTCACTGTATTCTAGCCAGTGGTCCATTCTTTCGGTAGGATGGTCACTGTATTCTAGCCTGTGGTCCATTCTTTCGGTAGGATGGTCACTGTATTCTGGCCTGTGGTCCATTCTTTCGGTAGGATGGTCATTGTATTCTAGCCTGTGGTCCATTCTTTCAGTAGGATGGTCACTGTATTCTAGCCTGTGGTCCATTCTTTCTGTAAGATGGTCACTGTATTCTAGCCTGTGGTCCATTCTTTCAGTAGGATGGTCACTGTATTCTAGCCTGTGGTCCATTCTTTCGGTAGGATGGTCACTGTATTCTAGCCTGTAGTCCATTCTTTCGGTAGGATGGTCACTGTATTCTAGCCTGTGGTCCATTCTTTCGGTAGGATGGTCACTGTATTCTAGCCTGTAGTCCATTCTTTCGGTAGGATGGTCACTGTATTCTAGCCTGTGGTCCATTCTTTCGGTAGGATGGTCACTGTATTCTGGCCTGTGGTCCATTCTTTCGGTAGGATGGTCATTGTATTCTAGCCTGTGGTCCATTCTTTCAGTAGGATGGTCACTGTATTCTAGCCTGTGGTCCATTCTTTCTGTAAGATGGTCACTGTATTCTAGCCTGTGGTCCATTCTTTCTGTAAGATGGTCAATGTCTCCTAGCCTGTGGTCCATTTTTTCGGAAGGATGTCAGGAAAGTAAAAAACCTTATTACTGTTCGTCGGTTCGTCGCTTCTCCCCAACCCACTGAAAATATTTTTCAGTTGGATGTGTATGTGCCTGTGTGTGTGTACAAACTAGGAAGCGTTTGCGCCTTTATATGTACTCACCGCTTCACTCCCCCCCCCCCCCCCAATACCCCCACACACTTTTCTGTTCTAGATCCCACTTAAATCGCACTTTTACAACTGACCTGTAGGAAAACGGCATCTGTTCGAGATACCACTTATACCCCTTCTCAAAGAGACTCTCGACGTTGTAGAAGTGCATCTCGTTGGTCTGGGCGGCGATGTAGGGGTGCAGGGCCATGAATGTCAGCAGGGCGCGGGTCCCACACTTGCCGAAGCCTATGATGACACACTGGGGGAACCGTCGTATCGGGCGGTCGTCGGGCGGCGGGACATAGATTGGCCCCCCTGGTCCGGTCTCTTTTTGTTTTGTCTCTGTTTTGCCGGCGTCAGTTTTTACTTGACCGCCTTTAGGTTGGACATCGTCTACTTCCGGCAGCTGGTCAGACAGGAGTTGGCTCTCGCCTAATGTATCGGCTCCAGTCTTCTCTTTCGGCAGTTCTCGTTTGACCTCGATAGCCCGTATCTGGCCAAAGAGCTGCTGCGGGTCGTCTAGACGGCTGGGGTAGAAGGACACCCTAGAAGTGAGCCCCCACAAAAAGGCTCCCAATGACAACATGACCAGCATGCCGACTGCGGGAAATAGCGAGGTCAATGACCTCCTCTTTAAACGAACTAACATCTTCATTTTAATTGTCAGTCAAGTTAGGTAGGAAAAAAACAACTTTGAATTTGTATACCAGCGAATCTAAACTGTATGTGAAACCAAATCACATATTTGTTCAATTTCTAGAACTAAAGACAGCGCGAATGCTCTTTCTTGACAAAATAAATCAGCAATGAAATAGTTAGATGACGCAACATGAACAGAAATATTTCTCTCAAATGTCAAGTTCCTTCTAGTACTCTTTCATTGGGCACGAACACTCGCGCCTTCAAGATGGCCTCATTAACGCGCTGATTTTATGTCAGTTAATAACTAATTTAATCAAAAAGTTAAATTTAATTGTAGTGCTGCTTTTGTTCGAAAATGTTTCCACTAAAAATGTACACAGAAAACCACACTAGTTGAAAAACAATGAAGGTCCACTGAGATGTATCAAGCGAAAAGTTGGCCAAACGAAATATGAGTGTAAAACTTGCAAGCAATCTGTGTTGCAAATTTTGCCGTAAGTAAAATGTTTTTGGTCGCATAAAAAAAACCCAGCTGGACAGTGAAGAACAGTGTTAGCAGTTCGATACAATTGATTGAGCTTCGAGCAGCTCCTTTATGGGCTGAGCGTTTTAAGAAGATAGTGTTAAAATCAAATAAATTTCACCAGATACTGCAGATCGTTATCTGACTAGACAGGGGGGGGGGTGATCGTTATTTACCCGGAGAATAAATAATTAGTTTTCATAAGGACGACTACATTTGGGGGTGGCGGGGGTGGGGGGGGGGGGGTGAGGAGGTGATTGTTCTGACTGGTTACCTGGCTGGTTACCTGACTGGTTACCTGGCTGGTTACCTGGCTGGTTACCTGACTGGTTACCTGACTGGTTACATGGCTGGTTACCGGAATTGTTACCTGACTGGTTACCTGACTGGTTACCTGGCTGGTTACCGGAATTGTTACCTGACTGGTTACCTGGCTGGTTACCTGACTGGTTACCGGAATTGTTACCTGACTGTTGTTCTGTTTGGTCACGCATGTAACCCTGTTCACCTGCTGGCCAGCAGAGTTAGGACAACATTGCAACTGTTTTTGGTCATGTTATTCCTTTTGTCATCTGCTTTATTTTATAATAGGTTGGATGACAGAGGCTCTCGTTTTGCCAATAGTCGCTTTGTTAATGTTATCGGCAGACATCTCTTAAAGTTGATGATGTAGAAAACTTTAACTAAAGTGTCTTGTAGCCGTTTATTTCATTAACTTTGTGTATAATTCAATACTTTAGCTAAAAATGATAGTTTATTTCACAGCTTTTGGCGCCCCCTTAGGGTCGGCCCCCAGGGCTGCCACCCCACCCGCCCTGCCCTAGCTACGACATACGTCTACGCAGTGGCGTAGCGAGGGGGGGGGGGGGCGGGGGGTGCGGACCGCACCTGGTGACACCATTTAGGAGGGTGACACCAAGGCAAAAAATAGCAAAATATAGAGAGAAAAATGATATATCCACTTAATTAAGTGATTAATTCGAGTGTTAAAAAGTTTTTTAAGAGCAAATTTGACAAATCCCGACAAGGGTGGAGGGGTGTGTGCAAATCGAAAGTTTGAGGGGGGGGGTGTGCAAATCGAAAGTTTTATGGGGGTGCTAATCGAAAGTTTTAGGGGGGGGGGGTGCAAATCGAAAATTGACAGTTTGTCCCCGACCTCGCTACGCCACTGCGTGTACGTATACGGTTCGTGCCCCAGTCAACGGATAAAACTACAGAGAGAAGACAGCAAAAACTGACGGGCGTTTAGCATCTTTGTTATGGTCAACCATGTAGTAGTACCATGGCCGGTAGTTCTCCAGTTTATAATAAACAATTTCATTTTCAAACTTTCATTCAACTCGGTCTGTTCACTCACTCAGTATATATATATATATATATATATATATATATATATATATATACTAGCCGTCCCGGCCAGGCCCTGCTCTGGCTTCTGTGAAAAACCTTTCTGTTAAAGACCATTACCTGTGTGTTTAGTAATCATCATAAACCCGGCATTGCCCACCCAAACCACAACCAACCAAAACCAAAACAACAAAACGCAAACATAACGCTAACACAATTACAAATACAAACGAAAACAAAAACTTAACAACAAACCCAACCACAACCACAAACACCAATACAAACACAAAGAAAAAACAAACAAAAAAGCAAACGAAAACAAAAACCTAACAACAAACCCAACCACAAACACCAATACCAACAAAAAAAAAACAACGAAAAAGCAAACGAAAACAAACCAAATCCAAACGCAAAACCAACCAAAAACACAAATACAAACCCAAACAAAGAAACACAAACAAAAACGAAAAAAGAAAGAACAAAAACGAACCAAATCAAAACGCAACCACTAACGCAAACCCACCTAAACACAAAGAAAACACTAACGCGAACATAAACGCCCGGGGCGGAATCACCTGTTTTAGCTTAATGAACGACTATAGTACCCCAACTTATTCATAGTCTTTTGCACTCACTTAAACGAACGCGCCTGTTTCAATTTGATGAACAATTTTAATACTCCAAGCTTATCCGTAAAATACCTACAACATTTGCACTTGATCAATCCCCGCTAATTATGTAATTATTTTTTTTTCCCAACACCAAAACAAAGTAATTAAAAAGTAAATACTTTTCCACAAAATGCAATGGTTTTATAAAGGGAAGTAATTGTGTTTTTCCTAATTTATCAAAGGGAAGTAAGTGCTATAGGACTAAATAAAGACATAATTAGAATTTTTGTAAAAGATGATATATTTTTTAAAAACTTGTGTTTAATGAACATGCCGACAATTATTACTATAATTTGAAAAATGAAAATTATTTCCCAACACTTTCAATAGTAATTTTTTAGCTCATAAATTTAGACAAATGCGCACGATAATTTTCTAACTTTTAAATTCGTACACTTCCAACGACATACAAATGCATTACATACAGAACTGAGCTTTATATATTAGATATATATATATATATATATATATATATATATATATATATATATATATATATAGACACATTTATATTGTGTGTATGTAAGTGTGTATATGTTTTTATGTGTATGTCATTTTGCGTGTGCCTCACTTTAAAAGTATGGACAAAAGTCGATAGCCTAATTGGCAACCCTTCCCCTCTCCTTTCGGCAACACTTGAAAATAAACCCCCACCGTTTACTTGTAAGCGAACTTTAAAAAAAAAGTATGAAACTGCATCTTTGAAATGAAGATCAATTCCTGTCTTCTTGGTGAACTTTTGAACTCGATTAGTCAGAAATAAAAGCGCGGGCTGTTGTTGGCCGGTCCCTACTTGAACAGCAAGCAATGTCCACACTGTTTGAGTGAAGCACCGTATGAGTGACAGCTAGCTTGGTGTTGTGTGTTGTTAAAGTCAACTACACGCTTTGGGGGGACATCCACAGGTGTAGGCCCGGGGGGCATCCACAGGTGTTCCCTACTGGATCATACATGTCAAAGCATCTTAGCCTCTCCTCAATGGAAATCGATAACCACACATCAGCTCTTGCAATTATTTTATCAATTAGTGTCTAATGAATTTTTTTTTCTAAAACTTGAAAAGAAAAATAATTTGAATAAACTTAAAGTAAGAACATTACCCCACAAACAGGTATTTCAAGGAAATCAAATAAATAACGAAGCTAACACGTAACTTGAATACACGAACGAAACAGGCCCAACCAGAGTTTCTTCCAGGCATCTCTTCGGGGGGGGGGGGGGGGGGGCGGAGCCCCCGAAGAAAGTCTACCGCCCCCCCCGAACAAAATGAAATTTATATAGAATATATATACTTTTAACAGTGTCCGCCCCGCCCCCCCCCCCCCCCCCCGGAGAAAAAAAGTCTGGAAGAAACACTGGGCCCAACTTTCCTAAAAATAATCTAATGGCTCCCTCTGTTCCCCTCCGCCTACTGCCGACTCATCTTAATCTTACGGGAACTTAATAGCAAGCTATGCTTGTAATAAGAACAATGTGGTCTAATGCCTAGATCTAGATATTATATGCAACTCCTAGGGAAAGTAAGCAAGTGTCAGAGTTCAGTTGTTCTTACCCGAACATGGGTAATTGAATTTAAATGTGTGAATTTTAAATTGCACGTTCAATCACATATAATGTCACGTGACATTCTATTTTTAGTAAAATATTTAGTTATCACGTGATTTTTATTTTTTGTTTAGATTCGATGATCCTGGTTGCTATTGTTTTGTTAAAGATAAGGTATCAGCGTAAATAAGGCAGTGATCGTAGTAATATTAACCGTAACTCGTATTGACCTAATAACTTGATAAGAAGTAGCCACGTAATATCTCTCAAGGTGAACTACACTCACAAAAAAGCTTGAAGAAGGAATGTCTCTCAAAGGTTTGTTGTTGTTGTTTGAGAGTGAGAGGCTCACTTCAGTTTTGTTACTCAGGAGTGAGAAAACATTAATAATAATATTTTTATTAAGTTAATAAGTGTTACTGTTGGCCTAAGAGTAAGACTAAGAGCCAGACTTGACTCGACAGTCAAGAGAGTCTGTGTCTCAGAGTCTGTGTGTTATTGATAACTGTTAAATCCAGAGGTAATCTATCGTTTTGGGTACGTAAAATCGCCCGCAGCTAGAACTAGAATCTAGTAATGTACGAAAAAGTTACCACATTGTCAAGGCTTTAATAATAGAAGTATATTGTGATATATTTGTGTCAAATATTATAGATAATTGAATAATAAACCAAAATTAATGGCTAAATATATCAATATAATAGGCCAGAAATTAACTTTCAACAGCAGTATTTGCGAGCAAGATTTGCTATATAAACAGCAGCCATTTGTAAAATAGAGTGGCTTCCTCTGAATCTCCTGCTATAAGTTTACAAAATAAACCAGGAGTGATCTCCCTTAAAATTTCTCGAATATTCTTATATAACACTACAGGGGATGGCAACTCTGGATATAAACAATATTTTAAACCATTTTTAATTAAACTTTTTAAAATAGAATAGAATCTCGTAGTAAAAAGAATTGCACAATAAGTGAACGTCAAACAAAATGTGCATAATAATGCAGTATATTATTAGTACTGTATATTATTAGTACTTTATAAATTCACATGCGTTTTTTGAGAAATCTGAAATAGCTTAATGAACTTACAACAGAAATTTGTCAAAATATGATAGAAGGAAGAGAATTATTTCTTTTACTTGTATGTGAAATTTCATTTATCTATCTGAAAAAGTACTCAATTTATGGGCTTTTGAAAAATTGAAAGTAGAAAAAGTTCCACTTCTGGTTATCGGAAATTGCTGAAAAGTTGATGCGGATCTACAAATTTGATATAATACTTATATATGAAATTTCATCAACCTAGCTGTAATGGTACTCAAGTTATTGTGTTTATAGGCACACATCCACACAGAATTGCTGTCCAGTTTTTCCATATAACACGGAAATGTTAATAAATCTGGATTTAGAATTTTTGCCTGCTTAAAATAAGTCCCCTATACTCCGTTTATGATGAAGTACTGAGAAGTAAAATGGTGGAAACTGTCAAAATTTCATGTGATTTTTGTGCACGATTACAATACTTTCTCTATACTCTGTATAACAGAAAGTAAAAAAAAAAACTTAAACAAGATGGCTGCTAAAAAAGTAAACGAGCTTTAATGCATCTGATGAAAACATGGCTAGTCTTTATTTATTACTGAAAAGTTTTAATACAATTGTTTAAAAACAGGTACATGAATGAAACTTTGAAACATTTTTGTAACTTTCAAAACAGAAATCTTCCTAAAAATGTGAAATAATTACTAAAATTAAATAGACATCGTCTTTTCACATTACTAGCCTCTGCAGATTTTACGTACCTAAAGCAATAGATTAACAGTTAATTTAATAATTGGAGGTAGAATATATTTTTAGAAGACGATTATATTTTTGTTGATAGGCCTTTTATAGTTTATACTGCCCTATGGCCTATACCAGGGGTCTCCAAACTTTTCAGTCCGAGGGCCGCATTAACTATCAAACTACAGTTCAGGGGCCAGTTTCTTCCAGGCATGTCTTTGATTTTTCTGGGCAAAGTTCCTCAGCCATCACCAACAAACGGTTTTTCTGTGGACAAAAAGATCTCCGCGGGCCGGATGAGAGGACATCGCGGGCCGCATTCGGCCCGCGGGCCGTAGTTTGGAGACCCCTGGCCTATACAAATAATACATTATAGGCCTACAATTATTATTATATCAAATATTATACAACTGCCCACTGGCCACTTGCTATACAATACTAATTACTATACTTTATACATGTTAGATCTATATGATATGATAAAGTTATTGATTACCGCATCTGAGCTAGACGACTCATAAAGACATGATCCAAATGGTTGAAAGTTATCTAATATCTGAGTGATACTGAGGAAAGTGTGAGATCAATTACTTGAAAGGCCTAGGTGTGAGCATAATTTAGCTGAACCCATGAAGCTCTCTGTGGCTTGACATTTGTTACTTTAATGTGAACATTTACTAGTTATATCACATTCTAATTCTTTCTTACTGCCCAGGTCTATATACATAGTATACACATCTTGTTACAAGTCTCGTTACACATAATGTTACACATCTTTAGTTTCTGACTTGGTTAAGTTGATGCTAAGTTTCAGTCCCAGGAAGAAATATGGATTTTAATTTTTTTTACAGTTGTGATGGTATTCTAACATACAAATACAATTTATTCATTACACTGTTGTGATGGTATTCTAACATACAAATACAATTTATTCATTACACTGTTGTGTTGGTATTCTAACATACAAATAAAATTTATTCATTACACTGTTGTGTTGGTATTCTAACATACAAATACAATGTATTTATTACACTGTTGTGATGGTATTCTAACATACAAATACATTGTATTTATCACACTGTTGTGATGGTATTCTAAAATACAAATACAATTTATTCATTACACTGTTGTGATGGTATTCTAACATACAAATACAATGTATTTATTACAATGTTGTGATGGTATTCTAACATACAAATACAATGTATTTATTACAATGTTGTGATGGTATTCTAACATACAAATACAATGTATTTATTACAATGTTGTGATGGTATTCTAACATACAAATACAATGTATTTATTACACTGTTGTGATGGTATTCTAAAATACAAATACAATTTATTCATTACACTGTTGTGATGGTATTCTAAAATACAAATACAATTTATTCATTACACTGTTGTGATGGTATTCTAACATACAAATACAATGTATTTATTACACTGTTGTCATGGTATTCTAACATACAAATACAATGTATTTATTACAATGTTGTGATGGTATTCTAACATACAAATACACTGTTGTGTTTGAGGGGAGAACATGTGTAAGGCAACAAAATTTCTTTGCTCAAAGAGTAAACAAAAGTAAACAAACTATCATTAAAATAAAATAAAATCTTGTATGTTTCCACAGAATATGTTTTCACAGATGATTTTGAAGTAACAGATGAAGTGAAACAAGATTTTGATGAAGCTGGCTATGTCATTCTAAGGTCTTTACTTGATGTATATGTTTCTTTATGTGTGTTTGTATTCTGGTGGCAACTGATACATCTTAAGATTGTGAATGATAACCAAAGGCAGTCACATTGTAACTGGATGCTTGATCCCAATGTTGTTGTATGCTTCGTCTAAGTTTTTAAATGTATGTTAAATCCAAAGTTGATTTTATGCTTGATCTCAGCTTGGTTTAAAGCTGAACCCCTAACATGATCAATAGTAGGCCCATACAGGCCAAGGCTCTTTCATTGTATATTAACCTAATGAGTGCTTAAGGCTAATTAATTACTTACATCCATAAATTATAATCAATAACATTTCATTAAAAATTTAAAATCAATTAGTTACTTCTTCCTTGAATATTTAAAATCAGTAGGCTACTAGTTTTGATTTGCAAATGTTACATTACAATGAAAACATTTTATGACCACCACAAATAATACAAACTTTTGAAAGTTGAATACAAGAGTTCTTTTAATTTTAAATAATGTATATTTAGTTCTATTGGAAGATCCCTAACCTCTGATGTATGTTACATATCCCTGTAGATCTAAGTTACATATCCCTATAGATCTAAGTTACATATCCCTATAGATCTAAGTTACATATCCCTATAGATCTAAGTTACATATCCCCATAGATCTAAGTTTTAAAAAAAAGTAAAGTTCCCTTTCAAACCTGACAGTCTAAGGGGCAAATGCAGTAGAATAATTTTATTGTTTATTTGTTTCCATATAAGTTTTGACTAAAATGCCAGATGATTTTCTAATGTAAACATAATCTGTAAATGTCAAATGATTTTCTAATGTAAACATAATCTGTAAATGTCAAATGATTTTCTAACATAAACATAATCTGTAAATGCCAAATGATTTTCTAACATAAACATAATCTGTAAATGACAGAGGTCTGCTGGACAAAGAAGAGCTTCTCAAAGTCAAAGATGCACTAGAGGGCACTGATGCACTTCTAAAAAACTCATTCCAGGTAGGAACACATTAACTCTCCTCTGTCAGAAGTTACATACTGTGTGATTTTTATTGTTGGGAAATTGATGATAATGTTATGACAATTAAACTCTAGGGTGAGGGGCTCAATATTTCAGGTCAATGACAGCGAGGGCCGCAAGAGTCGGCTCTGTCTGTGGAGTCACCCAGGAAATGATGTCACAGGGATGGTTGGACGCTGTGAAAAAGTGGCTGGTACCTCGGAAAAAGTAGGGACTTTTTGTAGGTTATTTTAGTGTAGGACTGTTCTGATTGGTTGACTAGGTCTAAGTTGTTGTGATTAATGCTCTTGACTAGGTCTAAGTTGATGTGATGAATGCTCTTGATTAGGTCTATGTTCTAGTGATGAATGTTTCAGCTTCTGGGTGGGGAGGTCTATCACTATCACACCAAGCTGATGATGAAGGAACCATTCACAGGTGGAGAGCATGTCTGGCATCAGGACTATGGGTAATGTTTGCTTTCATTTAGATATTGACATCAGGACTATGGGTAATGTTTGCTTTCATTTAGGATAGATGTTGACATCAGGACTATGGGTAATGTTTGCTTTCATTTAGGATAGATGTTGACATCAGGACTATGGGTAATGTTTGCTTTCATTTAGATATTGACATCAGGACTATGGGTAATGTTTGCTTTCATTTAGGATAGATGTTGACATCAGGACTATGGGTAATGTTTGCTTTCATTTAGGATAGATGTTGACATCAGGACTATGGGTAATGTTTGCTTTCATTTAGATATTGACATCAGGACTATGGGTAATGTTTGCTTTCATTTAGATATTGACATCAGGACTATGGGTAATGTTTGCTTTCATTTAGGATAGATGTTGACATCAGGACTATGGGTAATGTTTGCTTTCATTTAGGATAGATTTTGACATCAGGACTATGGGTAATGTTTGCTTTCATTTAGATATTGACATCAGGACTATGGGTAATGTTTGCTTTCATTTAGGATAGATGTTGACATCAGGACTATGGGTAATGTTTGCTTTCATTTAGGATAGATGTTGACATCAGGACTATGGGTAATGTTTGCTTTCATTTAGATATTGACATCAGGACTATGGGTAATGTTTGCTTTCATTTAGGATAGATATTGACATCAGGACTATGGGTAATGTTTGCTTTCATTTAGGATAGATGTTGACATCAGGACTATGGGTAATGTTTGCTTTCATTTAGAATTGACATTATACTCATCATCTTTCCTGTTTGTACCAATGACCTTGGCATTGGCTACAGGGGAATAGTGTTGTAAACAAGATGCCAAGTTGCGATAGTTTTCCATTGGTTGGCTTAATGTTGGCCAAACTTTTCAATTAGTGGGCTTAATGTTGGCCAAACTTTTCAATTGGTGGGATTGATGTTGGCCAAACTTTTCAATTGGTGGGCTTAATGTTGGCCAAATTTTTTAATTGGTGGGCTTGATGTTGGCCAAACTTTTCAATTGGTGGGCTTGATGTTGGCCAAACTTTTCAATTAGTGGGCTTGATGTTGGCCAAATGTTTCAATTGGTGGGCTTGATTTTGGCCAAACTTTTCAATTGGTGGGCTTGATGTTGGCCAAATGTTTCAATTGATGGGCTTGATGTTTACCTAAACTAATTACAATGTTGACATGAACTAATTACAATGTTGACATGAACTAATTACAATGTTGACATCAACTAATTACAATGTTGACATGAACCCATCAAAATTGTGACATGAACTAATTAAAATGTTGACACACACCAATCAAAATGTAGACTAGAACCAATCAAAATGTTGACATGAACCATGTTTACAGCTACTGGTATAAAAATGGCTGCCTATTCCCTGACATGTTGACTGTTTTTATTGCCATTGATAAATGCTGGAAGGAGAATGGATGTTTGCAGGTAGTCTTACTTCTACAGCTAGTTTTATTATTTCTAAAGATAGTTTTATTATTTTAAAATAGTTTTATTATTTCTAAAGCTAGTTTTATTATTTCTTAAGATAGTTTTATTATTTCTAAAGATAGTTTTATTATTCATAAAGATAGTTTTATTATTTCTACAACTAGTTTTATTATTTTAAAATAGTTTTATTATTTCTAAAGCTAGTTTTATTATTTCTAAAGATAGGTTTATTATTTCTAAAGCTAGTTTTATTATTTCTAAAGATAGTTTTATTATTTCTAAAGATAGTTTTATTATTTCTAAAGATAGTTTTATTATTTTTACAGCTAGTCTTATTATTTCTAAAGATAATTTTATTATTTCTAAAGGTAGTTTTATTATTTCTACAGCTAGGTTTATTATTTTAAAGATAGTTTAATTTTTCTAAAGATAGTTTTATTTCTAAAGATAGTTTTATTATTATTAGCTAGTTTTATTTTTAATCCTACTTTAGAGGGTAACCAGTTTAAAAATTGATTTTCCCACATTGGAATTAATGACATGATTTATGTGATTAATGACATGATTTTAGAAAAAGTTCAACTGAGGAAAGTAAAAAACTTGATTCATTTAAGTCATAAGATTTTGTTTGAACTAAGTCTAGCACTGAACATTCTTCAAATGAATGTAAGTTATATAGATTCTATACAATTAAAAAAAAGATTCAGTTATTTTTCTGTGTATTTAATCTACATCTGAACTGCTATTTTCCTCCACCAGATTCTCCAAGGGTCACATAAGTGTGGCAGGATTGAACATGTGATGGTGGGGGGACAGACAGGTGCTGATGTAGAGAGAGTTGATCAGATCAAGAAAGTTCTGCCTCTACATTTTGTGGAGTTGGAACCTGGTAAACATTTTAAAGGACATGGAGGGTTTTTGCTAACTTGTATCTGTGATAAAAATATTTTAGATGACTTATATCTGTTATATAAATATTTACGATGACTTATATCTGTGATAAAATATTTCAGATGACTTATATCTGTTATAAAATATTTTAGATGAGTTATATCTGTAATAAAATATAAAATATCGAACTATTCATAGCCAAACACTGAAACATATTATAAGCTAAATTACCCTTTTAATTTAACCTTAAATTCCAGTACTTGAGACTTATTTATTATGAACTGACACGCCCCTCTGTTCTGCAGGAGACGCTCTGTTTTTCCACTCTAATCTACTGACACGCCCCTCTGTTCTGCAGGAGACGCTCTGTTTTTCCACTCTAATCTACTGCACAACAGCGCCCCTAACCAGAGCCCACATCGCAGATGGGCTTTTCTCTGTGCCTACAACAAAGCCAGCAACAACCCTGTGTATGAGCACCATCACCCCCAGTACACACCTTTGATCAAGGTAACTATGGCTATATTTATCCCATTACACACCTTTGATCAAGGTAACTAGGCTATATTTACCCTAGTACACACCTTTGATTAAGGTAACTAGGCTATATTTACACCAGTACACACCTTTGATTAAGGTAACTAGGCTATATTTACCCCAGTACACACCTTTGATCAAGGTAACTGTGGCTATATTTACCTCAGTACACACCTTTGATCAAGGTAACTGTGGCTATATTTACCTCAGTACACACCTTTGATCAAGGTAACTATGGCTATATTTACCCCAGTACACACCATTGATTAAGGTAACTATGGCTATATTTACCCCTGTACACACATTTGATTAAGGTAACTGTGGCTATATTTACCCCTGTACACACATTTGATTAAGGTAACTGTTGCTATATTTACCCCAGTACACACCTTTGATTAAGGTAACTGTGGCTATATTTACCATGGGTGAAAGTACAGATAAAATCTTTTACCTTTGATAAGGGAAAAATAACAGTATTTACCTTTGAAAGTATAGATATAGATACAAATCTTTGCTAAGGTTAAGATAATATATAGCTTTAATGGAAGTAAAGATAATGTATACCTTTACTAAGATAAGAATAAAAAAATAATCTAGTTTAAATTTAATTCGGACTCAATTATCTAAAGTTGTATTTAGTCGTTGTCATTGGCTAGTTTTTTTATCTTTTAGCACAAAAACAACCTCCCATTGACCTGACCCTGAGTCAAATAAACTAGCCAGATTTTGTTAACTTTGTGTCAAATAAACTAGCCAGATTTTCTTTCACTTTGTGTCAAACTAGCCAGATTTTCTTTCACTTTGTGTCAAATAAACTAGCCAGATTTTCTTTCACTTTGTGTCAAATAAACTAGCCAGATTTTGTTCTCTGACAACTTGATTGATATGTTTCACTCTGTGTCAACAGGTGCCCAACTCCGCCATACGTGAGTGCACCAACATTACGGACATGAGTGACAAGGATTTTATGGACCCCAGCCAGGACAAGACCATTGTTTCCAACAAGGGAGAGAAGTGACCTGCACGTCTGACAGTCGGCCATGTTGAGTGTCTCACAACATTGTGCCTCACAACACTCCCCATGTAACATCATTCATCCTTCATTTGAGTGAACTTTTTGGTCACATGAGTGACTTGCTTCATACATTGAATGGAAATGTAAATAAATTGATAATTTGTTGTTTTTAAATTTAAAAAATTTGAACCAAGCTTTAGGGGCTGGGCTAGAGAACTGAAATCATTTAAGAATGGTGGATTTGTGTTACATTTTTTTCTATTGCTTTTTTGCATCTAATAATTGGTCATCTACTTAGTAATTTTTTTTCTTCTAAATGTTCATTTTCCCCCCACTTTTTTTATCCTTACCAATTTTGTCTGGTTTTTTCCCCCTTTTTTTTAACCCTACCAATAATGTCTATACCAAATGAAGATTAAGCTGAATGCTGGATGAGCATTAGCATTTAATTGATTTCACATATTGTACAAATGTTGATGTAGCAACTTATTGTATGTTACTAATTTACTGCCAGGTTTGATTATATTATTTCTATTCAAGATTTTAAAAGATTGTCTTATTAATTCACTACTGTTCATAAAAATTATAAACCGGGAGTGATCTCCCCTAAAGTTTCACGAATATTCTTATATAAAACAACAGGGGATGGGAACTCGGAATATAGTTATGATTTTTAATCCATTTTAAATACTTAAACTTTTTAAAATAGAATAGAATCTCATACAAAAAAGAATTTCTACCAAGCGATCGCCAAAACAAAATGTGCATAATAGTGCGGAATATTATTAGTACTTTATAAATTTACAAGCGTTTTTTGAGAAATCGGAAATAGCGTAAATTACTACTTCCAGTCAATGGAAATAACTCAAAATTTGAAAGAAGGTAGAGGATTAAATCTTTTACTTACATGTGAAATTTCATATATCTATCTGAAATAGTACTCAAGTTATAGGCTTTTGAAAAATTCAAAGTTAAAAAAGTACCACTTCCGGTTATCGGAAATCGCTCAAAAGTTGATACGTATCTACGATTTTGATAAAATACTTATATATGAAATTTCATCAACCTAGCTGTAACGGTACTCAAGTTATCGTGTTTACACATACACACAGACACACAGACAGACACACACACAGACATACGGACAAGATTGCAAAATTATGTTTTTCCGTATCAGTGAGGTGTAAAACGTCGAGATTTGTAAAAATCTCGATTTTTTTTTTTTGCACGATTACAAGACTTTCTCTATACTTCGTATATACGAGAAAGTAAAAATGAATAGTTCTTGCATTTAAATGAACTGAGCAAAAGAGTATTAGAAAGTAGATACTATAGTTATGTTCATAAAAATCCTTTATGGTTGGGTTAGGGTTCACCCAACTTTGACTCCTTTTCTAATGAAGCAATTTCTGTTTTGATAACAACACAATAACATATAATTTGTTAATCTGGTTAGTAGTATAGATGCCTTTTAATACAAGTTAAAAGTACTAAGAAAATTTCTAATTTATTTTATTCAACTTTATAGTTAAAAACATTTTCATTTCAACTTTAAAATACATATTTATGTATCTATCAATGTTTTCTTAATTCTTGTAATGTGCATGAATCTTAAATTAAATAGGAAATCTTGCATGATACTAAAACAAAATCATTCAACTATTTCTCCTTAAGCTAAGCCTATAATTTTTCTATGTCAAGAGCTCTTAGAAAACAAGATGGGTATGTCCAGTCAAACAAGGCCATTTTGTTTTTGGCATAAATCTTAAATTTTCAGGACTATGAAATACAAGTTTGGCCAAAACTCTAAAATGAATGAACGGCCAAAACTGTGGAATGTATGGTTGTCTCCTCACTGGATGGTCTGTATATCCCAATTGATCACATGTAAACCAGAACATTGTGTTGGTGCAGTATTAAATACAGCGGACAAATTTGTGTAACTTATTCCTTGTGGTAACTTTTTAAACTGCCAGTAGTCCATTGTATAACAAAACTATAATATATTTTTAAAAATCAAATTGGTTTTTCTCCCTGCTATAACTCATATAAAACTGGTGGCTATTTATTGTTGTTACAAGCTTTACTAGCTTGTCCAGTTTCCTCAAGTTTTATGTGTGTGTATTTGTCTTCAGTAAATGGTCAGTTTCATCAAGTTTATTATGTGTTTAACTGGTCAGTTTCATGAAGTTTTACTTGTGTGTAGGCTTACTTATCAAACAAGCTGAAAGTGATTTGGATTTCTAGCTAATTCAGGTTGTGACATTCAATGTCTAAGTGTTTTTGTTTAAAAAAAATTTAAATATGTTTTTAGAGTTTTTTGAGAGCAGGGTGGGGGAAGGAAACTCTAGAATAGAACTCTGTGCTCCACTCTCATTTTATTTATTTGTTGTCATGTTCCTAGTATGTAACATTTTTTTTCATGTGAAGTAACATATATGTAACATATATTTGATGTGAGGTATTCACAATGTAAATTTGATGTGATGTTTTCAATATGTAAATTTGATGTGATGTTTTCACAATGTATATTTGATGTGATGTTTTCAATATGTAAGTTTGATGTGATGTATTCACAATGTAAATTTGATGTGAAGTTTTCATAATGTAAATTTAATGTGAAGTTTTCACAATGTCCTGTAGCCCCACTGGACTCACCCAATAAATGACTGCCACTGCCAATATTTGTCTGTCAGTGTTATGCTCTGGTGCCCTGATATCAGCATACACTCAGGAACAGAAGACCAATATTTCAACAGACGTTAGAACTGACACCTTACACTGGCGACCCCCCACTGACACCTTACACTGGCGACCCCCCCCCTGACAGCTTACACTGGCGGCCCCCCACTGACACCTTACACTGGCGACCCCCCCCCCCCACTGACACCTTACACTGGCGACCCCCCACTGACACCTTACACTGGCGACCCCCCCCCCAACTGACACCTTACACTGGCGACCCCCCACTGACACCTTACACTGGCGACCCCCCCCACTGACACCTTACACTGGCGACCCCCCACTGACACCTTACACTGGCGACCCCCCACTGACACCTTACACTGGCGACCCCCCACTGACACCTTACACTGGCGACCCCCCCCCCCACTGGCACCTTACACTGGCGACCCCCCACTGACACCTTACACTTGCGACCCCCCACTGACACCTTACACTGGCGACCCCCCACTGACACCTTACACTGGCGACCCCCCACTGACACCTTACACTGGCGACCCCCCACTGACAACTTACACTGGCGACCCCCCCCCCCACTGACACCTTACACTGGCGACCCCCCACTGACACCTTACACTGGCGACCCCCCCCCAACTGACACCTTACACTGGCGATCCCCCACTGACACCTTACACTGGCGACCCCCCCCCCACTGACACCTTACACTGGCGACCCCCCACTGACACCTTACACTGGCGACCCCCCACTGACACCTTACACTGGCGACCCCCCACTGACACCTTACACTGGCGACCCCCACTGACACCTTACACTGGCGACCCCCCCCCCACTGACACCTTACACAGGCGACCCCCCACTGACACCTTACACTGGCGACCCTCCACTGACACCATACACTGGCGACCCCTCACTGACACCTTACACTGGCGACCCCCCACTGACACCTTACACAGGCGACCCCCCACTGACACCTTACACTGGCGACCCTCCACTGACACCATACACAGGCGACCCCCCACTGACACCTTACACTGGCGACCCCCCACTGACACCTTACACTGGCGACCCCCCACTGACACCTTACACAGGCGACCCCCCACTGACACCTTACACTGGCGACCCTCCACTGACACCATACACTGGCGACCCCCCACTGACACCTTACACAGGCGACCCCCCACTGACACCTTACACTGGCGACCCCCACTGACACCTTACACTGGCGACCCCCCACTGACACCTTACACAGGCGACCCCCCACTGACACCTTACACTGGCGACCCTCCACTGACACCATACACTGGCGACCCCTCACTGACACCTTACACTGGCGACCCCCCAATGACACCTTACACTGGCGACCCCCCACTGACACCTTACACTGGTGACCCCCCACTGACACCTTACACTGGCGACCCCCCACTGACACCTTACACTGGCGACCCCCCACTGACACCTTACACTGGCGACCCCCCACTGACACCTTACACTGGCGACCCCCCACTGACAACTTACACTGGCGACCCCCCCACTGACCCCTTACACTGGCGACCCCCACTGCACGTCTGCCTAAATCTTAGTTTCACCATCACAAGTTATGAAAACGATTTTATGATCACAGTATCAAGGGACTTAACACACACTAAAAACTATTTCCCCCTTATGTGTGATTATGTCCCTTGACCATAACATTAATGTAAAACTATTGCCCTACCTACTTGTATAAAAACAGACATAAGTGTGTGTGTAAAAATAAAAGAAGGGCAGTCTGATGACCTGCTTGGCTTGATACCGTGGACTAAAGGTTGCAGCCACACCTCTCCCTCCACCCCCCACCCGACTCATTCAGAGTTTCTACCAGGCATCTCTTGGGGGGGGGGGGGGGAGAGGGAGCAACCTCCCCCCCCCCCCCCCCCCCCCGAAGAAAGTCTACCCCCCGCCCGAACCGAACTAAGATGAATTTAATTAGAGAACATTTACTTTTACCAAGTACCCAGGAAGAAACACTGTACTCATTTGTGAGCGGTTCTCTTCGATTATGCCCATGCCATCCACGAAGCCCTATATAGCCAATCTATTCCAGGCCACTCGCTCTTCCCCATGTGTTCCAGTCCAGGGTTTGCCTCGCTATGTTTTCATCCCTTATCCTGGGGGTGTCGTACAATATCTTTAATATCCCTGTCTATGTGTTTCTGTATCGGGCTTTGTCACATGTGGGCGATGTGGGTTTTTCTAGCCGTCGGATCATGATGATGTTTCGTAGGCATGTGATGGACTGTTTTTATATTTTGTCACCCCAGGTCTTCAGTAGGTCCTACTGCTTTATATCTGATGCCATAAAGTCGTAGTAGGTCCTACTTCCTTAAGTCTGATGCCATATATAGTCGTAGTAGGTCATACTGCCTTAAGTCTGATACGTGTCAACCAGTGTTTCTTCCAGACTTTTTTCTCCGTGGGGGGGGGGGGGGCACTTAAAATTTTCGGGGGCGGGAGGGGGGGCGGTAGACTTTTTTCGGGGGGGTGGGGCGGAGACTGTTAAAGTATATATTTTCTATATAAACTTCATTTCGTTCGTGGGGGGGGGGGGGGGGGGGGCGGTAGCCTTTCTTCGGGGGGCGGGGGGGGGGGGGGTTCTCAATGAGACCCCCCCCCCCTTAAAATGACGTCACACCTCAACCTACAACCCCCCTCAAAATTGCAGTTGAACATTGCTTTTTTATAATGCAAAAGTGTGACGTCGCAACATGTGACCTCCCCCCCCCCTCCCCTTCATCACACATCGTCACAAAATTACGGACCCCCCCTCCCTCTAAGAGTGTGACGTCATTTATGGATGACCCCTGAAAGAAATACTGAGTTTTAGAGACATCTAAAAACAAAGTGAGAAGTGGGTCCAGTTTTACATCTCTACTTTGCGTAAACATGCTTTTCTATTATCTCGTTAGGAAAATCACTAGATCTACCTATTAGATCTACAATGCTTAAATTACACAAAAAGTAAAAAGTAATTACTAATTAGACCTGAATTTTTTTCAAGCCTACATTTGAAATAGATCCACGTTACATCTAGGCCTATTGAAAATTAGTTGCATTGGCAGAAAAGCCAACCAGAGTCTATACTGTGGTCTACTTTGGTAATTGTTTACTCGTTTATTTCTTCAATGAGAACAGGCTGTCAAATTAACACCGCAGCGTAAACCTCGAGGAACCCCCTGAATTTTATTATATTTAAATAGTAAAATAGCACAGGGGTTTCCCAATGCACATGCGCAGACGAAAAGAACACGTCAGAATTGTCTACAAAACGGAAACAAACCCATTGTTGAATATCTGTTAGTGGTATTCTGAAACCTGCAGACAAGAGCCTACATTTCATGTTTTATAGGTTTAAAAGTAAATTAAAACAATGAAATGAAATGTTTAATCCACCTCAATTTTTAGTTTTAGTCTGCTGCTTAATTTTATCATATAGGTAAGTTTCGACCTGTCTTTATAGTCAAATTAAGATTTTTTTGTTGTAACTGAGTCGAGTAAAAAAAATCCACCAGCCAGACAGGACTAGCCTAGAATCTAGCACAGACAAGCAGACGTATTCAACAGCATTCATTGATTCACTAGAGTATCATGTTTTATTGATTGTCCGCATAACTCTCACATAACTGAGGCTTGATAGTAGCTGAGTGTCTAGAACCTAAACTTAACTATTTGAATTAATTAATTATAAATCATCTTATGAAATCTTACGGCTTTGGACCCAGACGACACTCATCAACTCCTAACTCAAAACTAAACCAGGATTGATTTCAAGTGCTGTCTGTATGCCGAAGGACTACTGATTACACTGATGTCTCTACACTAGTTCCTACTAGATTTCACTAGAACTAGATCTAGAATTGGGCCCTGTCCTATATTAATGTATAATATATAAATATAATAATCCGAGAAATTGAAATACAGTTTAATTAAGTATAACGCAATTATAATTAGGGCATACTTAAAACAAGTTAAAAGCCAAGGCTCCCTTATCATATGTCCTATTCCTATTTAACTATTAAATCTATAGGTCTATTATTGCTATAGAGGCCTAGGCCTAATAATTAAAAATGTATAAAAATAGTCCAAGCCTTATCTTATTTATCATATAAATATAGGCCTAAATGAATTATTACTAATTAATCATTTCATTTGAGGCGATTTACACTTGTAAATATTATTTTGATTAGGCTTGGTTTCTCACTAATGTTTAGGAATGGTAAACCATCATCTTCAACTTCAATTTAATACACTCACTATGTTTTAAAGTTTGCTAATAGATAGGGCCTAACAACCTTAAACATGTCTCAGTATCATACAAGGCAACTCCATGTTAGACTTCTTGAGCTAATAACTAATGGTCTAATTAAGTTAAAGTTTAAAGGCTGAAGTATCGTTTAAGCTTCACTAATGATTAAGAAAATAAACACAATTTTGCAATCTTGTCCGTATGTCTGTGTGTCTGTCTGTGTATCTGTCTGTCTGTGTGTAAACATGATAACTTGAGTACTGTTACAGCTAGGTTGATGAAATTTCATATATAAGTATTTTATCAAAATCGTAGATCCTGATCAACTTTTGAGCGATTTCCGATAACCGGAAGTGGTACTTTTTCTACTTTGAATTTTTCAAAAGCCTATAACTTGAGTACTATTTCAGATAGATAAATGAAATTTCACATGTAAGTAAAAGATCTAATTCTCTACCTTCTGTCAAATTTTGAGTAATTTCCGTTGACCGGAAGTACTAATTTACGCTATTTCCGATTTCTCAAAAAACGCATGTAAATTTATAAATTACTAATAATATTGCGCACTATTATGCACATTTTGTTTTGGCGTTTGCTTGGTGCGCAATTCTTTTTTCTATGAGATTCTATTCTATTTTTAAAAGTTTAAGATAATAAAAAATCATGTCTATATTCCAAGTTATATAAGAATATTCGAGAAATTTTAGGGGAGATCACTCCCGGTTTATTACTCTTGCTGGAAATCCATTTTTATCCAAGCATATCGGTTAATGAATTAGGTTAATGAATTAACCTATTTCTATTTTTTTACCCACCAAAGCCTGAATTTTACACATTGGGATTAGCTTTAAGGACAAAAAAAATCAAAACTCTGGAACTATTAGAACACCATTCCTGGGAGCCACCCAGAGATTTTTCCTGGGGTTCACAGATATTTTCCCCAGTAGACCCGAGGTCCAGTCACCCCTGACTATTTCTAATCCAACTCAAAATCATACCAATACTGATTGTCATTGGAAAAAATGTTGGCTATTGCTAATCCAACTCAAAATTATACAAATGCTGATTGTCATTAGCAAAAATGTCTTACTTAACGCTAATACTAGAGTACAGAATCTAGTAATAGATCTTGATTTATATTATTCATTATAGGTAAACTCCAAAGTTTGTTACAATTGCTTTGCAAGTTATGAAGTGATTTAAAAACATGTAAATACTATTTAGTGGTAATTTACTGTTGCCAAAAATCCTTATCATACATAATAAGCCTAGATCTGGTGTGTTTGTTGAAGTTTGTTAAGTTGAACTCAGTGGTCTATATAATCATTATGATTATGTTTATTTGCTGGAGTTTTCACAGTTTAATTTTCACGTAATTGCATTATGAAATATCAGAAAAAATAAAATGAATTTAAATTTTAAGACAGAAAAAGTAGACTGGTACTTAAAATACTATATTTTGCTGATTTTCTTCATCTGTTTCTTCTGCTGTTATTTAAATTTTATTTATTTAAATACATTAAAAATACCAGACCAGATTCAATCATATTTTAACAACTATTTTAGTAGCATGAAATAATTTTATTGGTATGTAAGATTGTTATGTGAGAATACATAATACATTTGACATGTGATTGTAGTGCCTATGCTGAGGAGACAGTTAAAAATGACTTTAAAGAGGAGCTTGAGAGTGCAACAGTTTTACTGAATAACAAGAACGAGCAGGAGCAGTTGACTGATGAAACAGGTGACTTGGATGATGGAAAACTTGAGCCACTGACAGACAAACTGAAACCACCCCTGGTGAGTTGTAAGCACCCAGAACTTTGTACAGGTTTTCCACAAGTACATGTTCATACATTTTTGTTTTGAATTTAGATTTGTCCTCAATCTTTTTATTTTACCCTTGTTAAATGTTCTCATGCTCTGACTAGTTTTTTTTTTGGTATTCAAATGTGTCAAAAACAAAGTATGGTGTATTTATTAATTAATTAAGTAATGAAATTGTTTATCTCACAGCTTCCATACCCTACAAGTGTAGTGTATTTATTAATTAATTTAGTAATGATATTGTTTATCTCACAGCTTCCATACCCTACAAGTGTAGTGTATTTATTAATTAATTTAGTAATGATATTGTTTATCTCACAGCTTTCAATACTTTCATACCCTACAAGTGTAGTGTATTTATTAATTAATTAATGATATTGTTTATCTCACAGCTTCCATACCCAACAAGCCATGAGGTCATGTCCAACACTGCTGTAGAGGATGGATCTACTGAGGAGGCCTTGGCTCTGGACACTCAACTGGTCAGTACTCTTTGCTTTTTCTCATGGTCCTATTTATGTTGGTCCTGCCAGGTTTTTGTCCTGGTCCTATGTTGGGTCCTGCCAGGTTTTTGTCCTGGTCCTATGTTGGGTCCTGCCAGGTTTTTGTCCTGGTCCTATGTTGGGTCCTGCCAGGTTTTTGTCCTGGTCCTATGTTGGTCCTGCCAGGTTTTTGTCCTGGTCCTATGTTGGGTCCTGCCAGGTTTTTATCCTGGTCCTATGTTGGGTCCTGCCAGATTTTTGTCCTGGTCCTATGTTGGGTCCTGCCAGGTTTTTGTCCTGGTCCTATTTATGTTGGGTCCTGCCAGGTTTTTGTCCTGGTCCTATTTATGTTGGGTCCTGCCAGGTTTTTGTCCTGGTCCTATGTTGGGTCCTGCCAGGTTTTTGTCCTGATCCTATGTTGGGTCCTGCCAGGTTTTTGCCCTGGTCCTATTTATGTTGGGTCCTGCCAGGTTTTTGTCCTGGTCCTATGTTGGTTCCTGCCAGGTTTTTGTCCTGGTCCTATTTATGTTGGGTCCTGCCAGGTTTTTGTCCTGGTCCTATGTTGGTTCCTACCAGGTTTTTGTCCTGGTCCTATTTATGTTGGGTCCTGCCAGGTTTTTGTCCTGGTCCTATGTTGGTTCCTGTCAGGTTTTTGTCCTGGTCCTATGTTGGGTCCTACCAGGTTTTTGTCCTGGTCCTATGTTGGGTCCTGCCAGGTTTTTGTCCTGGTCCTATGTTGGGTCCTGCCAGATTTTTGTCCTGGTCCTATGTTGGGTCCTGCCAGGTTTTTGTCCTGATCCTATGTTGGGTCCTGCCAGGTTTTTGCCCTGGTCCTATGTTGGTTCCTGCCAGGTTTTTGTCCTGGTCCTATTTATGTTGGGTCCTGCCAGGTTTTTGTCCTGGTCCTATGTTGGTTCCTGCCAGGTTTTTGTCCTGGTCCTATTTATGTTGGGTCCTGCCAGGTTTTTGTCCTGGTCCTATGTTGGTTCCTGCCAGGTTTTTGTCCTGGTCCTATTTATGTTGGGTCCTGCCAGGTTTTTGTCCTGGTCCTATGTTGGTTCCTGCCAGGTTTTTGTCCTGGTCCTATTTATGTTGGGTCCTGCCAGGTTTTTGTCCTGGTCCTATGTTGGTTCCTGCCAGGTTTTTGTCCTGGTCCTATGTTGGGTCCTACCAGGTTTTTGTCCTTGTCCTATGTTGGGTCCTACCAGGTTTTTGTCCCGGTCCTATGCACCTGAATATTCAAACTAAAAATTTAATTTATCAACCTATTAAAAAAAACTTGTTTTAAAACATCTGTTATTGTGTAGACAACAAATTTACCAACTGAACAGTTTTAAAAATCTGGTTTGTACAGCTAATGAGACGAAGTGATCTAAGTGCAGTTTCTTGTCAAATCCATCTAGATCATCTTGGCTCTAGTGAAATATATATTGCTGGTTTATTTTAAAATCTTGTAGCTGCCAGCTGTTTCCTGATCTATAATATTGTGGCCACCATGTGTAGGCAATGTGGGCGTTTATACTGTCAGAAGTAGGCAACCATATAGTCATATGGGGCTGTTTATACAGTCAGAAGTAGGCAACCATACAGTCATATATGTAGGCAATCATACAGTCATATATGTAGGCAACCATGCAGTAATATGGGGCTGTTTATACAGTCAGATGTAGGCAACCATACAGTCATATGGGGCTGTTTATACAGTCAGAAGTAGGCAACTATACAGTCATATATGTAGGCAACCATACAGTCATATATGTAGGCAACCAAACAGTCATATGTAGGCAACAATGCAGTCATATGTAGGCAAGCATAGTCATATGTAGGCAACCATACAGTCATATGTAGGCAACCATACAGTCATATGTAGGCAACCATACAGTCATATGTAGGCAACCATACAGTCATATGTAGGCAACCATACAGTCATATGTAGGCAACCATACAGTCATATGGGGGTGTTTATACAGTCATATGTAGGCAACCATACAGTCATATATGTAGGCAACCATACAGTCATATGGGGCTGTTTATACAGTTGTATGGGTGTGTTTATACAGTCATGTATGTGTGTTTAAACAGTTGTATGTATTAGTTATACAGTCATAAGAGTCTATCACTGAGAAGTATAAAAAAAACTAAATATGGTGCCATATATTGTCATTAGTTATATGTTCATGTACTTAAAGTTCAGGTGATCAGGTTAGTGTAAGAAGCTCACCTGATATATTTCACTGTAAACCACCTCACTGTCACAACTGATCTCATCTGGCTAATTGTTGCTTGAATTGTCTCACCCACTCTGCTGTCGGTCATTTCATTTATTGTGATTGTGAAATGGGAATAATTGTGATATAAACACGGTCATTTCATTTATTGTGATTGTGAAATGGGAATAATTGTGATATAAACACTGTCATTTCATTTATTGTGATTGTGAAATGGGAATAATTGTGATATAAACACTGTCATTTCATTTATTGTGATTGTGAAATGGGAATAATTGTGATATAAACACGGTCATTTCATTTATTGTGATTGAGAAATGCCATAATTGTGATATAAACACAGTCATTTCATTTATTGTGATTGAGAAATGGCCATAATTGTGATATAAACACAGTCATTTCATTTATTGTGATTGAGAAATGGCCATAATTGTGATATAAACACAGTCATTTCATTTATTGTGATTGAGAAATGGCCATAATTGTGATATAAACACAGTCATTTCATTTATTGTGATTGAGAAATGGCCATAATTGTGATATAAACACAGTCATTTCATTTATTGTGATTGAGAAATGGCCATAATTGTGATATAAACACAGTCATTTCATTTATTGTGATTGAGAAATGGCCATAATTGTGATATAAACACGCCTTAGAATGTTCTTACACAATATGCTATAACTGCCTATTGCAAATGTATCATGTAGAAAATAACGGAGCTCCCCCCACTCCCCCACTCCCCCACTCCCCCACCTCCGCGGGTAATTTATCATGCCAGAGAGCAACAGATGACTTAAGAGATGTGGGTTGGGGGGGGGGGAAGCCATCCACATTGGCTTGAAGTTATTTTTGAAAAAACCCCAAGGCTTTTAGACAGCTGCTAGTGCTATATGACCGTGGTAAGTGCTGGGGCAGGGTAGAAAGGGGCGGCCGTGCTGGTTCCGGTATATATGATCCGGGTCAGTGGCAATGTCACGGTAGTAAGACTAGAGCTCTATACGTGTCGGTCTACAGTTGGTTGTGTTAGTAGTCGGGGGGGGGGGTCCGTCCTACCTAACAGTTGGGTATTATACACGTGTCGGTCTACGGTTGGTTGTGTTAGTGGTCTGGGGGCAGAGGGGGGGGTGATGTGGACCGCACCGGGTGACACCATTGAGGGGGGGACGACACCAACCCTAAAATAGCAAAATGTATATAGAAAAAACGATCATTCCGGTTAAATAAATGATTAATTAGAGTTAAAAAGTCTTTTCATTCAGAGCAAAATTGACAAATCCTGACAAGGGTGAGGGGGGGGGGGGGGGGGGTGTGACACCATGACGTAAACCTGCTAACGATATAGAAAACTGTACTACATCCAGCTATAATTACAACCGACTATTATAGATGAACATCGTTCGTATTATCTGTGCACAATTTTAAGCTATCATCGGGTGGAGGGGGTGTAAAACCAACAAACCTTTCAAAATTTGCCTGAAGAAAGAGGTTTTCTTGAAAATTGCTATAACTGACCCCTCAATCCACGTCTGGGGGTGGGGAGGTATAAATAAATAATTTTTTTTCGCAGGGGGGGGGGGGGGGGTGACACCATAACTTGACGCACCGGGTGAGACCCGACCTAGCGACGCCACTGTCCGGGGGGGGGGGGGGTATATACGTGTCGGTCTACGGTTGGTAATTTTAGGGGTGGGGGTGTTACCATCCACACTAACCATCCCTTCCGCTTCAAGGCTGTCCTCCCCTCTAGCTGTAAACGACCAGTGTAAAAGCTCCATCTTTTGCACTTAAATGTATCCGTCTAAAAATAGCGCCTGACGTCATGTCTGTTTCTTGAGCCGTAGTCCATTTACCACGTTGAATAGTTTAAAAATGTCTCCGGCAGAACTGGAGCCAAATATTAGCACCAGCATTCGCTGAACCAGAGGCGTAGCGAGGGGGGGGGGGTGTGCGGACCGCACCGGGTGACACCATTTAGGGGGGTGACACCAAGGAAAAAAGAGCAAAATATATAGAGAAAAATTTGAAGGGGGGGGGTGCAAATCGAAAGTTTGAGGGCTACGCCTCAGGGAGGTGACACCTTTAAGTGCCGCACCCGGTGACACCCGACCTCGCTACGCCACTGCACTGAACTAACTAGACTATCAGTGTGTAGCAGCAGTGTTTCTTCCAGACTTTTTTCTCCGGGGGGGGGGGCACTTGAAATTTTCGGGGTGGGGGGCGGTAGACTTTCTTCGGGGGGCGGACACTGTTAAAAGTATGTATTTTCTATATAAATTATATACATTTCATTTCGTTCGGGGGGGGGGGGGGGGGGCGGTAGAATTTTTTCAGTGGGGGGGGGGGGGGAAAGCGCCCCCCCCCCCTAAGAGATGCCTGGAAGAAACTCTGTGTAGCAGTATTAGCACCAGCATTCACTGAACTAAATAGACTATCAGAATGTAGCAGAAGTGAAGCCACATATTAGCACCAGCATTAACTGAACTAACTAAACAACACGTCTGACTTTCGACCCGACACAACACAAGGTGGTTTAAGTGGATGCAAGAACTCTTTGACCTCTAGAGTTCACGTTCCTGGTGACGATCTTTACACTGGACCGACCTATCTCCGTCTAGATGGAGCACCACAGCAACATATGAGACTAGCCTCCTCCCTAGACAACCTCCTCACGACTAGACAACCTCCTCACAACTAGACAACCTCCTCACAACTAGACAACCTCCTCACGACTAGACAACCTCCTCACAACTAGACAACCTCACGACTAG